CTGATCCCGGGGAGTGACTGAGCATTTCTGTTTTCCCTGCCTTGCAGATTCCTGCACTTGCGGTGGAAATGCCTGGCTCAGCAGATATCTCAGGGCTAAACCTGCAGTTTGGGGCATTACAGTTTGGTTCGGAGCCTGTTCTGGCGGAGTACGAATCGACGCCCACCACGAGCGCCGCCGTTAGCCAGTCCCCGAGCAGCCTGTACACCAGCACCGCCAGGTGAGGACCCCCCTGAGGAAAGGGGTGATTGATCCGAGCAGGGAGCAGCTCCTCATGGGCTGCGGTCGCACTGCATTCTAGTAGACCCTTTCTGACCCTGCCCATGGTCGCAAAGGGGGGACAAGGTATGCAACAGCAAAGCGCAAGTTGCCAGCAGGCTTTCGGGCAGCTCTGTGACCGGTTGGCCTCGGGTGCTTGTACAAAAAACAGAAGTTCCCTGCAGAAAACTGTTCTGCTGGAAACACTGGAAGGGAATCCCCGGCCCAGCTGCTCCTGGTGAGCAGGTTCCGTGTGCTTCCCGTGGGTTTTTGCCTGGCACACCGGGATGTGGTGCAGGAGGAGAACCTACAGGTGCTGATGTGCAGCCAAAATAAATTTCTCCCATCTTCTCTTGGGCTGCCACTCTGGTATCTGGTCCCTTGAGTGCTGGGACCTGAGTGGTGACAGCTCATGAAACGTCACCTGGAGCAGAGCAGTGTGAGGCGAGCCTGCAGCTGGGTGCCAGCACCCTCCTGCAGCGGGGTCAGCTCTTCCCTGGGTCTGCTCCTGCCCTTGGCTGTGTTGTGTGGCTCCTCTGTGCTGGGGCTCGGGGTTCTTTATTTTGAAGACTTGGAACAGTGAGCCTGCAGTCTGTGTCAGCAGCTCGCAGACGGGGGTGATTTGGAGGAAAACAAAAACTTTTTGTTCTTTGTAGTGAATCTTCATCCACAATTTCGTCCAATCAAAGCCAGGAGTCTGGTTACCAGAGCGGCACAATACAGACAGCAACATTTACCTCCCAGAACAGCGCTCAGGGACCACTGTACGAACAGAGATCCACCCAGACGAGGCGATACCCAAATTCCATCTCCTCCTCGCCCCAGAAAGATCTGACCCAGGCCAAGGTAAGCAAGCGGTGTTGCTCATCCTTTCTGCTGAGCAAGTGTGGTACAAAGCACTGCCTCGGGGGAAGCCAAGTGGTTGAGCGTGTCTGATCCTCCTGCCTCACCCCGTGGCGTGTGGCCTCTGGTGAGAGCTCTGCTGGCTGGTACCAGAGCCCTCAGTTACGTGACTTACCTGGGGCTGGGCCACTGGGGTGAGCAGAGGTTAAGTGGATTGCGGGCCATGTTTCGTGTCACGCATAATTACCCTGCAGCAGAGTGACACTGGGGCTGAGGATTTAGTGTCATCTGCAGGGTTTGATTCTCGCATGCTGTGCAGGTTCGGTAATGTTGATTTTTGGCTAGCTTGGGCTCAGGATGTTGAGGCAGCCTAACTGCCAGCAGCAGAGACACTTCTTGCATGTCTCCCAAACGTGCTTGGGGCTGACGTTGGTGCTGGACTAGCTGAGCTAGGGACTGACCCCAGTGTGGTCTGATGGCATTTGGTAGCGTGCCCTTTTTCACAGCTGAGTGGGGAGTGTGGGCAGGGGTTGACATTAGATCTGCCTCTGGAAATGAGCAGCTGCAATGCCCAACACTCTTTTATTTATTTTTTTTCCTCAGAATGGTTTCAGTTCCGTACAACCCACGCCATTACAAACCACACAGGCCGTTGAAGGTGAGTCTGCCAGTGCCGTGGATGTCCTGGGCCTCTTGTACTGCTGGGATTCTGTGCTTTGGATGAAAAGCTTCACCTGGGCTAATAGGAAGTCCTTCCCATGCTGAACTAAATGCTGCCGCTCACACTTTGCTGCCACTCGTGTTTGCTTACCTGGAACTGTTCAGCCTTCTGCTGGTCGTTCCATGAAATCCTTGATGAGTTAGCCCTCACATCTTCTCCATGATGACAATAAATACTCTGTGAAAAGCTCCTCATTGGCAGGGCTTGAAGCTCTTTGCAGATCTGTTGACCCCATGGGGGTATCGGGGCAAAGTGAGACACAGAACACAGTGACACTGCCACAAGTGTGGAACTGGTTGGCAGCACTGAGACCCCCCCCAGACCTCCCAGCTCCTCTGGATGAACCTCTGCTGATCCTTGCCACTGCAGTGTCCTCTGCGAGCTGCCCCTAACCCAAAGCTCTTTGTTCACAGGTGCTACAGGCCCCGCAGTCAAGTCTGATTCCCCCTCTGCTCCCAGTATCGCGCCTCTCAACGACGGGGTGTCTGCGTCGGCCTTGCTGACAACAGCCAGCCAGCACTCGACAGCTCTCAGCAGCCTGAGCCACAGCGAGGAGCTCCCCAGTACAACGACCACCCAGCTCAGCAGGTGAGCACACGAGGTGGTTTTCTGGGGAGGTGAATTGTCCGAGTCTGTCTTGTACGGGCTCCGTGCAGCGGGGAGGGGGAGATGCATTGAAATGACTCATCCCATCCCAAGGCGCCTCCTCCAAGAGGTCTGGGTCCATCTAGAGCTGGTCGGCTGTTGCAACAGCCCCAACAACAAATTTCTAAGTTAGATGAGAGGAGTGACCATGGGGCTGGAGGTCCTTCCACTGAGGAGGCAGACAATTCCCTTCCTTTAGGGTGGTGCAGGTGCTCTGTCTGGGAAGCCTTGCCAGCTCGAGGCCTGGGCTGGGAGCTGCTGGCTGTGTTGGGATGCACCTTGGTGCAGCTAGGCCTCATGGGGTTTTTGGATGTGATCTCATCAGGGGATGTACTTTTTCACCATGTAGCATAGGTGGGGAATGGGATCTGGTGTGGTGCTACCAGTGGAGACTCTTGCACCTTGGCTTGACAGCTTTTCTCCTCTCCCTGCAGTACGTTACCCACCCAGCAGAACAGTCTGTCCTCATCCACGTCCTCTGGGCGAACGTCAACTTCAACTCTTCTGGTGAGTCTGGGTGTGCTCGAGCACCGTGCACCCCTCTATTGCTGTCCAGATACTGCCTGTGCACCCCTGGCTTAAGGCTTTTGCCCCCCTGCCTGTTTCAGACACACCAGCAGCTTCTCTCAAGCCTGTAGTAGATCTTAAAAATGACACGGAGTTGCAACGAGATGTCAGAGCAAATTTGTAGCTGCTGGATTGTCGCTGTTCAAACATTTACTGCTGGAGCTCCTGCAGTAGAGCCCTGTGCTCTTGGCTTCTGCCACAGAATAAATCTCCTCGCTGCAGGCGTGGCGTTCAGTCCTGCTTCTCCCAGCAGCTCGATGCGTTGGGACACAGCAGCGCGAGTGGCTTGGAAGCGTTAGGGGTTGGCTGCCTCAGGACTTTGGTCTCAGGCCAGGTGCAGAGCAGGTTTCCTTGTAGCCTGCAGCAGCCGAGTTCACCGCAGGCTATCGGGAATGTCTGGGAGCAGGCAGAGCTGCGCGATGCTCTGCACACATCCTGCAGTGTTTCTGCAGCCAGTTACGTCAGCCCGGTTCCCTCACTCTCTTCTCTTCCTTCCCCAGCACACAAGTGTGGAGAGTGAAGCAAGCCTCCATTCTTCTGCTAGCACTTTCTCCACCTCCTCCAGCACAGTATCAGCTGCCCCGCCAGTCGTCAGCGTTTCATCCAGTCTCAGCAGTGTCAGCAGCCTGGGCCTCAGCCTCAGCAGTAACTCCACGGTGACAGCCTCGACTCGCAGCTCCGTTGCAACGACATCAGGTACTTGCCCGGGTACTGCCGAGTGAGGGGAGGCACAAAGAAACAGCTTCTGCTCTGTGCTTCACTGTGTGACTCTAACTTTCTCTTCCTCCTTCAGGAAAAGCCCCTCCCAATCTCCCTCCTGGAGTCCCACCGTTGTTGCCTAACCCATACATCATGGCTCCAGGATTGCTACACGCCTACCCGGTGAGTGGGACGCCCACCTCGTGCCACGGGGGCCTTCCTAGTTCAGCCTCCAGCCACCAGGGAGGGACGGGGTGCAGCAGTGAAACCAAACCTGCCCCCAATGGCCAGGCAGATCGAGCTGGTTGACAGCATGAGCTAAAGCTGGTAACAGCAGGGCAGCGTACCCTTGTGGGTAAGGGGCTGTAACTGGTCACCACAGAGCAGATACTGTCTGTCCGTTCTCTGCGGCCTTCCCAGCCTTTGGGGAGCAACAGCCAAAGTCGGAGGCTCGTAAAAGTATGGAGCTGCATAGCTGTGTGCTGTGACAGAAAAGAGAACAAGGGAGACAACTGCCATGGAGGCTAGGGCTATGTCACAGCTTTCTTTTGAAGATGAAGCCATATTTCAGTGTTGCAGTAACTTCTGGAGGACAATTGTTGAGTGCCTTTGCAGTCGGAGGCAGTGGTGTTAGGCATTGGTGCTCTCTTCCTCTGAGCAGCTTGGAGAAACTCTTTGCAGCATCAGTCTTGTAGCAGTGAATGCTGACTGTCTGCAGCTGGTGTAACCTCTGATCTGGCTTTATCCAATCTTCATCTGAATGCTGAATGTAAAATTAAATTAATCTGTGTCCCTAACATCATCTGCTCTTTTTCTAGCCACAGGTGTATGGATATGATGACTTGCAAATGCTCCAGACGAGATTCCCGTTGGTGAGTACTGAAGGCTGACGTGCACAGACCACTTCCACGTTCCCTAACAGCTGCCCGTGCTGCATGCCTTGGGTGCACAGCCCCCTCAGGCTGCAAGGAGGAATTGAAAAGCTGGCAGAACAGGGTGCTGAGTAGATGCCCCTCTTTGGCAGTAGGAGTTAATCGATTGCTCCTTCGCACTCAGGAACTGCTTGCACCAGTTCAGGGAGCAGTGCTGATGCCCTTAGTAGGGCTAAGGACCACGCACGCTGCTGCAAGCAGAGCTGTGGTGTCCAGCAGTGGAGTGAGGAGCTCCTGCAGATACCTGATACCTCTGATCCTGATTTTTTATTTAGAAATATGATGTATGTCACTTTTGTTATGAAGTGGTGGGGAAAATCCAGGCGTTTTAAGGACTGCACACCAGTAGACCTTATCTGGTTCTTCCAATAGCCAGACGAGGGGGACGGTGCATGCAATAAAAACCTGGGGTTGCTGCAGGCTCTCATCAGCCTTGATGTGACTGACTGAACTGCCATACTCCAACATAGCTAGTGGCTGCTGTCCAGGAATCCCCGTTTTCCAAAAGATTTTGCTTTGCATATTAGGACGGAGATTATAAAGCTGCTTCTCCTCTGTTTTTATCCTTCAGGATTACTACAGCATCCCGTTCCCTACACCCACCACCCCGCTGACTGGAAGAGATGGCAGCCTGAGCAGCAATCCGTACTCTGGTAGGGGAAAAGGCAGAGCTGGCTGTGTGTCTGCTCAGGTGTTCTTGCCAAACACACCACTGCTGCCCGGTGGTTCCCTGCGCCGTGGTCCACTGGAGCTACGTCAGCCCCAGCCTCCCGTGCTGCCTTTGATCTGGAGCACTTTTCTCACCAGCTGAATTCCTCATGTCTTTGGTCATGTGGAGGCGTGCTACCAGGAGGATGGGGATGTGGGAGAGGATGGGGCTGTTGGAAAGGGAGTGAGGAAGGGCTGGAAGTACCCACACGGCACAAAACTGGGGAGCTGCTTCTCAGGCAAGGCAGAGATTAAGCAGTGAGCACGGCTTTGAAGGCCCTTGGAGTGAAAATATAAAGAAAATTGGGATGGGATATCTGGAGAGATTTGGTTTCTATACCATGCAACAGTCTGAGAGGAAGAAGGGCGATTGGGATCTGTCAGATTTAAACTAAATGCCCAGCAGGTGGTTGATCTCTCATTGACCTTGGAAGGTGCTGTTTGTCTGAACTGCTGATTCACAGGGCGAATTAGAGAAAGGAGGCCTGTGAGCAGCAGTTGCTCTGAGCCTTTCCATGCGTTGGGAATTGCTGCACTTTGTGGATCGCTCCTGTTCCAGCACGGCTTCTCCCCTGCTTCAGCAGGAGCTTGTCTGTGCAGAAGTGTTTCTGCCTGGCACGCCGAGGCTGAAATCCCAAGCTCAGAGCGCAGGGCTGCTGCTTGCATGATTTGCCAAGTTAACATCGATGATAATTAATGTGCGTGGCTACCCTGGCCTTGCCTGTGAGCTGGGGCAGCGCTGAGAAATTCACTGGCTTTACTGTGTGAGCTCTGAATAGGGAGAGTGTTTGCGTGGAGGAGCCAAGCAGGTGCTCCTAAAGAAGGGCAGAGGGAGGCTTCCCCGCTCCCCGCAGCCGAGCCCAGACAGGGGAGAGAGGAAGCGAGGTTTCCGACGGCTCCCTGCAGGCTGCTGGCCCTCCGCAGTGACATTTGGTTCAGTGCCACCAGGCAAGGAGGAGGGAGGTGGGAGCCCTGCTTGCAAAAAGGGGCCATTCACACATCCTCAGCTGGAAGAGACTTGGCTCAGCTCCTCGAAGAGCTGTTTGGTGTGAGGACAGGGCCCCCAGGCTGCCTGGGGCTGGTTTGGGGAGCAGTGTTTGGGGTTGCACAGAGGGAACTTGGGATGCTCCAGCGCCCCAGCACTGCTCCTGTGCAGGCGGCCGGCAGCAGGGGTTGTGCAGGGCTTGGAGGTGGGCCGGTGTTGGGTGTTGCAGCTCCTTGGTTCAGCTGCTGGGGGTTTCCTTTCTCTGCTGAAGTTCTGCCTGGCAGTGGATGGGCGAGCAGCACAGCCTCACCAGCACCTAGCTGGCACGTCACGCTGGGGTCTGAGGGCTTCCCTGCACAGCAGGAGGGGGGTTGATCCATGTCACTCTTAGCCCAGAGGTGACACAGCCTTCTGATGAGCTGCAGTGGGCCAGGATTTGGTGTGTCTGATCCTCACTCTCCTTTCTTCTGTGTTCCAGGTGACTTAACAAAATTCGGTCGAGGTGATGCCTCTTCCCCCGCTCCTGCAACGACTCTGGCCCAGCCTCAGCAGAGCCAGACCCAGACTCACCACACCACGCAGCAGACGTTCCTGAACCCAGCGCTGCCTCCTGGCTACAGTTACACCAGTCTGCCGTACTACACAGGGGTACCAGGGCTCCCCAGCACCTTCCAGTACGGGCCCGCCGTGTTCCCTGTGAGTTCCCCGGAGGCAGGGCTTGGCGTTTGGGTCAGAACACCTCAGCAGAGCTGCTTCTCACTCCTTTCCTCTCCTTTCTTCAGGTTGCTCCTACCTCTTCCAAGCAGCATGGTGTGAATGTCAGCGTCAACGCATCAGCGACCCCTTTCCAGCAGCCCAGTGGCTATGGCTCCCACGGATACAGCGCTGGTAAGAGACCTGGCCGGGCATCCTTTCCTCAGCAGAGTCGTTATTGTGGGGCTTGTTCACAGTCTGACTGCGTGAGGGCACTGCTGCCTTCACATCAGCAGCATCCAGAAGGGGAAATGGCCTCGGTGCAGCTCACGTGTGGTTTGATTCTCCTCGAGGAGGCCCCGGCTTGTTCTGCATTCACAGGCCTGGTGTGGCTTTGAGGTGCTCAGAGCATTTCACGCCCTCTGAGACTCGCAGCTGCACAGCTGGGCCTTGGCTCACACCGGAGCTGAAGCCACTGAATTATTTTACCACGTACGTGTGATCGATAAATCAAGGGTTACTCCAGATCTGAGCCTGGGAGCTTGTTTGACTCCTGCACTTGGCATGCCTTCTAGAGAAGCGTCCTGTCCCGATTCTAAGATGCAGGGTGTTGGTGAACCTGCCACTTGTCTTGTTTCACTGGTCAGCATCAGCTGATTGAGAAGGGCCTGCGTTTGGATCTGTCTTCCAGCCTCTAGGTTCCAGTTGTGCTGCCTTTTTCCACTGCATTAGAGCCTTTTAGGACTGAGAACCTTTTAGGACTGTTTTATCATCACAAAGATACTTCAGCTCTGCAGCAGGTCACCTGAAATAACTTTCTGAGAAAGCAGAACCCGAGCCTTTCAGATCTTCAACACTTTTTGCATGCCTTAAATGATTGCAGAGGCTTTTCTCTGTATCTCCACCTTTTAGAAACACCAAGCATCAAATGCGGGCTGTGTGTCCACGTTGCCAGTTGTTGCACCAACCCCATCAGCCTACAGCTGTCGCCGTTGCCTGTTTCCTGGCCAAGGAGCTCGCAGCCCCTTCCTGCCAGTGCATCGTGCCTGGGGCGTTGTTTAATTTGCTGCATCCTCTCAGCTCTTCTCAGAGTTCTTTTCTGAGCTTTTCAGGAATTCGTGTTTCTCTGAGTGGCAACAGGCCCCTGACTTTATTTTTTTCCGGATGCTTTCAGAAACTACCATTGTTCACAGGAAGAGTTTGCCCTCGTGCTGGCACGCTGCACCTTGGCCTTGCCAAGGCTCTGCTCCCTGGGGGATGTCTCCCAGTCTTGGCAGATCCCTGGGCTGCTCGCTGCCACCCCGTGCTGGCTCTGCCAGCAGCAGCTCCCGCTGACCCCTAAGGCTGGTGTTTCCTTCTCCCCAGGTGTATCTGTGACATCCAGTAACACGGGCGTGCCGGACATCTCGGGCTCTGTCTACTCCAAAACTCAGGTGGGTGCCTGCCGTGCGCCGCTTGGCTGGGGAGCTCAGGCACTGCCTCCCTGGGTGAGGAGGGGTCTCCCCTTGGAGCCCCTGCACAGGGAGAAGGGGAACGCTTGGCTTTCCCTCACTTAAAGCAGTTCTGAGCCGAGGGAGGGCTGTGGGTGGAGAATCGGTGCGTTCTCTGCACCAGGCACCGGCTCCCTTGCCAATGACTTGTGTTGGGAAGGGGAAGCGTCCCGGTGCCTGGCCTTACTCCGCCGCTGGCCTCTCCCCCTCAGCAATCCTTCGAGAAGCAGGGATTTCACACTGGAACCCCGGCAGCCTCCTTCAACCTGCCTTCGGCGCTGGGCAGCGGCGGCCCCATCAACCCCGCGACGGCGGCGGCATACCCCCCCACCCCCTTCATGCACATCCTGACCCCGCATCAGCAGCCCCACTCGCAGATCCTCCACCACCACCTGCAGCAGGACGGGCAGGTAAGCGCCCCCCCCCACCCCAGGGGTACCTACACCCCTCGCTGGGGTATCTCTAGGGCTCTCGCTCCCCCCCGGCCCCCCCCACCCTCTCCCTCCCCCCCTCACGCCCCGCAGCGGACACATGCGGACACGCGGTGACACGCACATGCACATACACACAGGGCCGATGAGGACGAGGTGAGGAAGGCCCCGGGGTGCGCTCCGCTGGGGGGTACTCGGCACAGCCCCTTGCTGCTGGGCTGTACCAGGTACGGTCGGGTAGTGCCCCTTCACGCAGACATGCCTGGTCCGTCCTGACCCCCCCGGTGCTCGGAGTGGCGGCTCCGCAGGCCCTAAGGCAGTTCTAAAGGGGTTCCTCGCCACAGCCACGACCCCGCCGTAGCTTTCAGGTCTAACCGTGGATTTCTATTGTCATAGTTTGTCCCTTTATTTTACATATCCTGGTACTGCAACAGCTTCCATATTTGCAGATGATACTGTGCTGCCAACGCCAGCAGGAAGATCAGGTAATGAACCTCTCTGATAATGCATTGCACTTGCCCTGGGGTCTCCCCCCGCCCCTAAGGCCCCCCAGGCTCACGTAGCCCCCTCCGTCCCCCCCCCGTGGCCCCGCCAGGCGAGGAGAGAGGCCCGCAGTCAGTATGTGCACACACACACACCCGCGCGCACAGACACACACCCCCGTGCTCATCCCCTTCCCCTCTCTCCCCCCGCGGTGCGGCCAGGGCCCTCGCTGCCGCCGCTGCTCCGGAGGACGGCACCAAGGGGGGGGGGACAGCGGCACGGCGCCGGGGGCTCCGGTTGACCACCCGGTGCCGGAGGCCGCGGGGAGCTTTGTGCTGGGCTGAGGCGGCTCAGCGAGGAGCCGTAGCCCGCAGCACCCCGGGGCCAGCGGTGCCAGCGTCACCCTGCGGAGCTGCCCCGGGGCTGGGACCCCAGGGATGGCAGCGCCCCCACCCCGGTGCTAACCTTCTGCTTCTCCTCCTTGTCCCCCCAACCCCTTCCCCGCAGAGCGGCTCCGGGCAGCGCAGCCAAGGCAGCTCCATCCCCCAGAAATCCCAGGCCAACAAGTCTGCCTACAACAGCTACAGCTGGGGCGCCAACTGAGGCCGGGGGCGGCCCTCGCCCACCACTTGCTTCCGGATGAGTCCCACGGAGCCGACGCCGACGGATGCGGGGAGGAGAGCGCCCTGCGCGGGGCAGCGCCTGGGCCCCCGCGGCCCCCGGGCAGGGCAGGGCGGGCCGGCAGGCGGCTCCGCATTGTCTGTTTTCAGCCACCTTTCCTGTTGTATGTAATATAGAATTTGTATTTTTTCTTTTTTTTTTTTTTTTTTTCCTCCTCCTCCTCCTCCTCTCTCTGCATTCAGATTCTGAATCGTTTGCCGTAGGGGCCTTTTTTGGTTTTTACTCCTTTCTCCCTCCTCCCCCTCCCCGCACCTCCTGCTGCCCCAGAACCTCTCGGATCCAAAGGAGTGGAAGCTGCGAGTCGCCTACAGCAAACCCCCTTATTATTAGGAATAAGAACAGTAATTGATATGAACAGCATTGTAAGATGAATTAGTTGAAGTGTTTTTTTTGTACCGTGTTCTAAATTTAATGGATAAATGTGTCTTGTATATAAAAACAAAAACCCCACGCCGTCCTCTAGTTCTCTCATTTCCGTGCCCCCGCTGCTCTCTGCGACCACCCCCAGGAGCTGGGGAGGGCCCCCCCCCATTTTCTGTTCTCCCTCTGCGGGCCCCGAGCGCAGGCCCTGCCCCCCCGCACGCTGTAAGTATCTCCTGCTTCTCCTTTACTTTTGGTCTTTTTTTTTTTTTTTTTTTTTTTCTATGCAGTCCAGATCTTGTATTTTTCAGTTCAAAACGCTCACTTCAACTGCAGCCCCCGTGGGGGTTATTTACTGAAGAGAATAAAGATCACAAAGCGACGTGTGTCCTTTCTCATCCCTCCCTGTGCCCTGGGGGGGCAGCGCTGGCCACGGCCCCCCGGACCCCTCCCATGGGCCCCTTCTCCCCTTTCTCCCCCTGGGCTCCCAGCACAGGGACGTCACCGCCTGGCCCTGCTCCCCCTGCCTCTGGGGGCCGTGCTCTGGTGTTACTGGGGCTACTGGTGTTACTGGGGCTGTTGCTGGCGGGGGTATTGGGGTTACTGGTGTGTTACTGGGGCTGCTGCTGGTGTTATTGGGGTTACTGGGGCTGCTGCTGGGGGTGTTATTGGGGTTACTGGTGTGTTACTGGGACCACTGGTGTTATTGAGGTAGCTGCTGTGTTACTGGTGTGACTGGGGCTGCTGCTGTTACTGGTGCGCGGCTACTGGTGTTACTGGGATTGCTGCTGTTACTGGTGCTACTGGGACAGCTGCTGTTACTGGTGTGTTACTGGGGCTGCGCCCCCCGGCAGGCCTCAGGCCCCCCCCGCTCCCGTCCCCTCCCCACAAGCGCTGTGGCGGGGGGGGGGCAGCGGGGAGGCCCCGGGCCCGGTCCCAGCCCCGGGGGCGCTTTGCGGCGGCGGCGCTTTACGGCCGGGCCCGATGAGCTTTTACGACGCCTTCCGCGGCTTCTTCGGGCTCCCGGGGGGCCGCAGGTACCGGGGCCGGGCCCGGGACCCCCCCCCCGGAGCCCCCTCCGGGCCTCCCCTACACCTCCCCGGCCCCCTCTCCGGGCTCCCCGTTCCCCTTCCCGGTCTCAGCTTCCCCCCCCCCCGCAGGCCCCGGGAGCCGCTGTTCGGCGGAGCGCCGCGGGACGAGGACGAGGACGAGGCCGCCGAGGGCCTCCCCCGGCCGCCGCCGCCCCCCGATGGCTTCGGCTTCGGCCCCGGGGGGGCCTTCGAGGAGCTGCTGCGGGACGCGGCCGAGCTCCTGGGCGCCTTCGGGGGGGCTTGGGCCGGGCCCCCCCCGGCCATAGGTGGGAACGGGACCGAAGGGGGGGCCTGGCGGAGCCTCACCCCCCCCTCACCCCCGGTTGTGCCCCGCAGAGCCCCCCCTGCCCGGCCCCAGCCCCGGGCGGCCGCTGCGGGACTCGATGCTGAAGCACCCGGACGGCCCCGAGGACTCCCGAGACCCCGCCCGGCCCTGGAGCCTCCTCCCTGAGGTACGTGGGGGGGCCCTGCCCTGCCGGGGGGGGCCCTCGGGTGGCGGAGCCCCCCCCGAGTCCCGGCACTGGGCTCTGGTGACCGGTGCCTGGCTTTGCCTTGCAGCTGGAGGACGCTCGCCCGGCCCCCCCGGAGCGCAGGGAGGACCGAGGTGGGTGCTGGGGGTGCCTCTCGTATGGGGGGGTCGAGGCCGGGCGCCTCTTCCCCGCGCTCACCGTGTGGCCCCCCCACAGATCTGGACTCGGAGGTGTCCTCAGCGGGGCTGGGCACCATCCTGCGGCCCCACGAGCCCCAGCCCCGCTCCTACTTCCAGAGCGTCTCCGTCACCAAAGTGACGCTGCCTGACGGGGTGAGTGTGCTTGGCGCCGTGCCATGGCGTGGGTGTCCCCGTGCCATCGTGTAGGGTGCCCCGTGCCACAGTATGAGTGCCCCGTGCCATGGCATGGGTGCCCCTGTGCCGTGGTGTGGGTGCCCCGTACCATGATGTGGGTGCCCCATGACACCTTATGGGTTCCCTGTGCCATGGAATGGGTGCCCTGTGCCATGGAATGGGTGCCCTATGCCACCTTATGAGTGCCCAGTGACCCCGTGTGGGTGCCCTGTGACACCTTTTGGGTGCCCCGTGCCACTTTGTGTGTACCCGTGCAGGCGGTGGAGGAGCGCCGCACGGTGCAGGACAGCCACGGCCGCCGCGAGACGACCGTCACCCTGCGGAGGGGCTCCCAGGCCTTCGTCAGCACCACCACGGAGGACGGGCAGGGCAAGGAGCACCGCGAGGAGCTGCTCGGCGTGGATGACCGTGAGTGGGGGGCCGGGGGAGGGACAGGAGGGGTGAGGGGAAGGGGACAGCGCCCTGCGAGCGAGCCCCCCCTGCCCTCCAGGGGAGCTGGAGCAGTTCGCAGGCACGTGGCCGCAGCACGATGAGCTCCGTGCGCCCACCCTGAGTGACCCCTCGGCCATGCTGGGCAGCTTCTTCCATCGCTGGTTCTCCGGCTGGTAGCCCTGACCTCCTGCTGGCCACCCCCAGTACGTGAGAGGGGCGTGGCGGGCACAGGGGGGGGCTTTCTGGCTCTGCCCGGGGTGGGCGCAGCCCCTTCTCACCACCAGTTTTCCTCGCAGGTGGGCCAGGTCCTGCGGGGATGCAGCGGCTGCGCTGGGGGCTGCCCCCCCCCCCTTCTGGGGCACCGCCGCGTTTTGGGGGCAAACATGTAGATGTGTACAGAGCAATAAATCTATTTATTCTAACGGTGGTGTGCGAGGCTCCTTCGGGCACAGGGTGGGCTGCAACCCCCCCAGATTTGGAGCTGGGGGTCCCACTGCAGCTCCGGGGGCTGCCCTGTGGGTGCAGACAGCCTCAGGGCTCCTCTGCCGTGGCCCCGTGCCCGCGCTGCTCCCTGCCTGCCTCCCCCGGGCCCTTCTCGAGGGCCTTGGGAGCACTTCCAAGGCCTTTTCATTAGCGCTGCCTGCGGTTGTGGCTTGGGAAGGGACCCGGTGGAGGAAAGCAGCAGCTCTCCAGCCGGGGAGGCTCCCACACCGGGACGCGGGGCAGCGCGGACTTACCTGAGCCAGGACTCGGTGCCCCGCAGCCACCGGGGGGTCCTCGGGGGGCTCCGGCACCACGGGCAGGGACGGGTGGGAGCAGGGACGCAGCTGCTGCCCACGGCCCCACGCGGGACTCTGGTCCCTGCGAGGCGTCTCCCCGCTGCAGCTCGCAGCCCTGATTGGTGTAAAGTCTGCGTGTTATCATCCACCCCAGCCCGGGGCTCATAAAATGCCCCAGGGAGCCGCTGCTGCTGCCACTGCCCCTGCCTGGCCGGCCCCATGGGCTCCGCGTCCTTCTCGAAGAGGGCTCAGGCCCTGCTCCGCGTCCGGAACCAGCTCCTGCGGGAGTGCCTGGCCGAGCTGCTGGCCGTCTTCGTGCTCATCGTGAGCGGGGCACGGGGGCTGCGGGTGGGACGGGGACGGAGCTGAGCGTGGGGTGGCCACTGCTGGATCCTGCAGCCCCGCGGCTGCGCTGCACCCCAGGACGGGGACGGGATGGGGCTGCCTGGGGGGTGGCCATGCCGTGACTGACAGTGACCCCAAACTCGCCTGACTCCGGCATGAACCCTGGTCCCACGATGCCCGATGCACCCTCTGCTGCGGGCGCTCCGGTATGATAAGGGAACGGGCGCTGCCAAGAGTGCCTGAGGGCGCAGAGCTGGGCGACGCGTGCCTTGACGCCTCCTGCCCCGAGGCAGGCAAAGGTTGGGCTCCAGAGCTGTGCTGGGCACTTGGGACGGATCCAGCAGCGGTGAACGTTGGCACCGCCAACACTGCCAGCGCCCCCCAGCCCCGAGGTCTCCCTGCAGAAGCTGGTGACTCAGTTACTGATAATATTTTTCCATCATCATCGAAAACGTGAGCGAGGGCAGTAACCACAGCCCTGCCTGGCCCGTCCCGCGTGGGCAGCTGGAGCCCAGAAAATGGGGGAGCCCCGCGCCCAACCACGCAAAACCACGGAGACTGCAGGGGAAGGGGCACCGGGGCAGCGCGTGGCACGGGGTGGTGGTGGTCCTGACAGTGGCCGCAGCGTGTGGGGGGACCACGGGTGCTGCACAGGGACACAGTGAGGGGCTGGGGGTGCAGAGGTGGTGGTGGAGCCGTGCCCCTCTCCCCCAGCTGATCACGCTGAGCGGCTCGGCGCAGATGGTCACCAGCTCCGGGACCAAGGGGAACATCCTCACTGCCTACCTGGCGGGTGCCCTGGCCGTCATGGTGGCCATCCACACGGCGGGGGGAGTCTCTGGTGAGGCCGGGATCCCTGCGCTGCTGCGGGGGCTCTGTTCCGCGCTCCCTACGCTCGCCCCTCTGGCACCAGGCTGCTGCCGGCTCCGGATCCTTCAGGCCCCCAGCTCCCAGCTCCTCTTCCCCGCTCTGTTGCAGGGGCTCACCTGAACCCGGCTTTCTCCCTCTGCATGTGCCTGCTGGGGCAGCTCCCGCTGTGGAAATTTCCCATTTTCGTGGCCGTGCAGACCTTGGGATCTTTCATCGCTGCCGGAGCTGTCTACGCCCTGTACTATGGTATGCAGAAGCCCACGTGCACCCCGGCGCTGTGGGGACAGGGTGTGCACGGGGCAGGCGTGCTGCCGGGGTCCTGGCCCTGCCTGTGCCCTGCACCGAGGGGTCACCGGCACGCGTGCGCTGGCTCTGCCCCGCAGACGCCATCCAGTTCTACAGCAACGGGACCCTCGCCGCCTCCGGCCCCCTGGAGACCGCCTCCATCTTCGCCACGTACCCCGCCGAGTACCTCTCCCTCTCCAACGGCTTCTTGGACCAGGTGGGTGCCAGCCCCGTGTCCCCCCCGCCGGGGTGCTGGTCCCCGTGGCGCTGAGCCGCCTGCCGGCCCCGCAGGTGATGGGCACGGCGCTGCTGATCGTGGGCATCCTGGCCATCACCGACGGCCGCAACAAGCGCGTCCCCGAGGGCCTGGAGCCGGTGGCCGTGGCCCTGCTGGTTTTCTCCATCGAGGTCTCCATGGGCTCCAACTGCGGCTGCCCCATGAACCCCGCGCGGGATTTCGGGCCCCGGCTCTTCACCTACGTGGCGGGCTGGGGCGCGGAGGTCTTCAGGTGGGTAGGGGGGGGGGGACACGGGGAAGGGGTTGGGGGCAGTGCGGATGCCCCCATGCCCACGCTGCCCCCGTCCCCAGCAGGGACAATGCCTGGTGGTGGGTGCCGGTGGTGGCCCCGCTGCTGGGGGCGGCCGTGGGCACGGCGCTGTACCAGCTCCTCGTGGCCCTCCACCACCCGGCGGAGGACGGCGGCGGGGCCCGGGGGGGCAAACGGGACGATGGCAGCAGCACCGCCATCCCCCTGGGAGCTGGGCCCTGGGACAAGTGACAGCGGCCACAATAAAGGAGCCCCGAGGCGGGCACCGTGTGTCTGTGCTGGGGGGCACCGGGCCGGGGGGGGGGCACCGGGAACGGGGGGGAACCGGGAAGAGGGGGGCACCGGGGGGGGACACCGGGAACAGGGGGCACCGGGCGGTGACACTGGGAGGAGGGGGGGCACCGGGAACGGGGGGGGAACCGGGAAGAGGGGGGTACCGGGGGGGGACACCGGGAGGAGGGGGAACCGGGGGGGGACACCGGGAGGAGGGGGGGCACCGGGAACGGGGGGGAACCGGGAAGAGGGGGGTACCGGGGGGGGACACCGGGAGGAGGGGGAACCGGGGGGGGACACCGGGAGGAGGGGGGGCACCGGGAACGGGGGGGGAACCGGGAAGAGGGGGGTACCAGGGGGAGACACCGGGAGGAGGGGGAACCGGGGGGGCACCGGGAGGAGGAGGGGGCACCGGGGGGGGACACCGGGCATGGGGGGGGATCACAGCCATCGGTCCCGGCCCCTTGGCCGCCCCCCGGCCCCGCTCCCCGCCGTGCCCCGGGGTCCCCCCCCCGGTCTCTCCCCGCCGCCCCCGCATCACTTCCGCCGCCGCCCGCCGACCGGCGCCGCCGCGGCCATGGGGCGCTGAGGCGGCGGCAGCGGCAGCGGGGCCGCAGCGGCCCCGGCCCCGGCCCCGGCCCCGGGCCCCCGCCCGGTCGCTCCCCATGGGCTGCGGGGCCGCGGGGCCATGGAGCGCTGCGCGGCCCGGCGGGCCCCAGGTGAGCGGGGCGGGCCCCGGTAGGCCCCGGCGGGCCCCGGTGGGCCCCGGTAGGCCGCTGTGGGCCCGGTGCGGCCGTTGCCCCGGCAACGCGGCGGCTCCCGCAGCGGCGGGGAGGGGAGGGGCGGGGCGGGGCGGGGCGGGCCCGGGGCACCGGCACCGGCACCGGCCGCGCGGGATGGCGCCGCCGGGGCGCGCCGCGGGCCCGCAGCCATGACGGTGCCCCGGGAGATGCCCGAGAAGTGGCCGCGGGTCCGGGGGCCCGGGGGGGCAGGTGGGTGAGGGACGGGGCTGCGGCAACGGGAACGGCACCGGGACCGGGAACGGGAACGGGCCGGGGAGGGGAGGGGAGGGGAGGGGGAGGAGGAACGGGGCCGCAGCGCCGGGGGGGCGCAGAGCAGGGCCGGGGGTCCCCGGGGTGCAGGGCCCGGGGGTCCCGGGTCTGGGGGGGGGGATGCAGCCCGGGGGGGGGTCTCACGGGGTGCAGGGACCGGGCTGGGGCATTGGGGCCGGGGGGATTTGGGGTGCAGGTAAGTTGGGGAGGGGGGATAGGAGAGCCTGGGGGGGCAGTTTTGGGGCCGGGGTGGGCAGTTTTGGGGCCGGGGGGGGCAGTTTTGGGGCCGGGGGGGGCAGTTTTGGGGCTGGGGGGAACAGTTTTGGGGTCGGGGGGCAGTTGTGGGGCCGGGGGGTGGTTTTGGGGCCGGGGGGCAGTTGTGGGGTGGGGGCGCGGGGCTGAGGACGCGCTGTGTTGCAGAGGAGGAGCGGCGGGTGCGAGCCAACGCGCGGGAGTACAACGAGAAGTTCCAGTACGCGGTGAGTGGGGGGGCCCCGGCAGCACCCCCCCGGGGGTCTGGGGTCCGGGGTCCGGGCCTTGCGCTGCCCAGCGGGTGGGCGCAGGGGGCTGGGGCGAAAAGCTGCCGTTTGGCCCTGAGGTGATGGTGCTGACCGGCCGCTAACGCCCTGGAGCTGCGGGGCTGGGGCTGGGGGGGGGCACCGTGTGCCCCCAGGGGGTGATGCAGCCCCCACCAGGATGCTGACCCCCCCCCAGATCTGCCTGCGCCCCCTGCCCGGTCCTGGAGCAGCGAGGTCTGGCTAATTAACGAGCTTCCGGAGCGGCCGGGGGAGGGGCAGCGCTCACCTTGGCCTCCCCCTCCATGCTGGAGGTTATTTCTGCCTGCTCCGGACCAGGCCCTGCCTCGGCCTCCAGGAGGCCCTGGAGGCTCTGGGCCTGGGAGGCCACCGGGGGAACTGGGAGCCACTGGGGGGACTGGGAGCCGCTGGGATGCTCTGCAGGAGGAGGCCAGCCCCGGGTACCGGCTGGCGGCGGAGGCAGAGGAATTGGCTTCTTGAGGAAGATGCCACAGCACTGGGACTAGGGCAGGAGCCGGGGGGCTGGGTTTATATCCCCCAAATCGGGGGGGAGCTGTGCCGCAGCCCTGCCCCAGAGCGGTGCTGGGAGCCACGGGGCCTCGGCGACTCCTGAGCCTCCCTTCTTGCCCGCTCCGTCCTCAGAGCAACTGCATCAAGACCTCCAAGTACAACATCGTCACCTTCCTGCCTGTCAACCTCTTCGAGCAGTTCCAGGAAGTGGCCAACACCTATTTCCTCTTCCTCCTCATCCTGCAGGTGAGTGCTGGGGGCCGGGGGCGATGGGGGTCCCCGCGCTGTCCTTCCCGGGCCGTGCAGACGGGGCCCCAGGGCCATGTCCTGGCCCCGGCGAGCTGCAGGGTTGGTGGCGTGGGGCCGGGGCTTGCCCTGTCCCTGTAACTCCCTGTCCCCGTCCCCAGCTGATCCCGCAGATCTCTTCGCTCTCCTGGTTCACCACCATTGTGCCTTTGGTTCTTGTCTTAACCATCACAGCTGTCAAAGATGCCACCGACGACTACGTGAGTGCTCCCCGTGCGCCCCCTTCCTGGGGCTGCCCGCCCCATGTCGGGCACAGGGACGTGGGGCTGGGCGGGGGGCTGCGAGCCTGGGGTGGGCGCACAGGGCTGCGCCATGGGGGTGATGCTGGGGCTGTGGTGGTGGTGGGGGGGGGTGCAGAGGATGCAGGACCCCATCCCCGGTGTGGCTGACGCTGCTCTCCTCCCTTCTGCACCCAGTTCCGCCACAAGAGCGACAACCAGGTGAACAACCGGCAGTCTCAGGTGCTGATCAGCGGAGTGTGAGTGTCACGGGGCCAGGGCCTCTGGGGAGGGGGCACGGGACCCCCACGGGATGCAGCCCCCTCCGGAGGGGCGCGGGGAAGCGCTGCTGCTGGCTCCTGTGTGACGCCGCCCCGCTGTCCCCATGCAGCCTGCGGCAGGAGCAGTGGATGAACGTCCGCGTTGGGGACATCATCAAGCTGGAGAACAACCAGTTCGTGGCAGTGAGTTTGGCCCCAAAATGAGCACGGCCCTGGCTGGGCGGCGCGCGGGGACACGGGGGGGCTTTCTGCTCACGCTGCTTTTGTGCTCCTTTGTCCCCTCGGGGCTGAGACCGTGGGGTTTGCTGAGGCTGGAAGTTGTTTTAGGCTGTGTTTGAGGTCTGGGGATTAGTCTGGCACGGGCACTTCAGGCAGCGGCATCCAAGTCAGCTCCAGAGACCCTGCTGGCCTCACCTTCTGTAGGGCAGGGCTGCAGCACAGGGCCAGGAGCTTCCCCGAGGGAGGCAGAGGGGAGCCCCAGCGGCAGCGCAGCCCTCTCAGCGTGTCTCTCCCGACAGGCTGACCTCCTCCTCCTCTCCAGCAGTGAACCCCATGGGTTGTGCTACATAGAGACCGCGGAGCTGGATGGGTAGGTAACTCCCCCTCTCCTTGGGTGCCGGCGATCCCTGGGCCTCGGGTCGCAGGGGAAGGCAAGAGGTAGGAGTGAGATCAGGCTGAGGGCAGGGTGGGAGCTGCTGGGGGCCCAAACTGGGGGAGCGTTCGTGAGTTCCTCCCTGCCAGGCTGTTGCTGACCCTGTGCCAATGCCTCCTTACCCACAGAGAGACCAACATGAAGGTGCGACAAGCCATCCCCGTGACCTCGGAGCTGGGTGACACCAGCAAGCTGGCCCTGTTTGATGGTGAGTGCCTGAAAGCAGCGCGCTGCGATGGGGCAGCTCGTGGGTGTCCTCCTCCATCACTTGGCTTGGGTCCGCCTTGCTCCTGGAGAGACCAGGACCGTCCGTGTGGTGCTGTCCCGTGGCTCAAAATGGGTCTCTGGGGAGGGTGCTGGGAGCACTGGGATGGAGCTGGGCAGGTGGAGAAGGTGTGTTAGAGCTGAGCTGTCCTCTGCGTCCAGGCGAGGTCATCTGTGAGCCCCCCAACAATAAGCTGGACAAGTTTGGCGGGACGCTGTACTGGAAGGAGAACAAGTACCCCCTGAGCAACCAGAACATGCTGCTGCGGGGCTGCGTCCTGCGCAACACCGAGTGGTGCTTCGGCCTCGTCATCTTCGCAGGTGGGCTGGGACAGCCCCACACCGCTGCCCCCCAGGGAGGGGAGAGGAGAGGAGGGGACCCACCGACAGCTTTCCCTCTCCCCAGGTCCCGACACGAAGCTGATGCAAAACAGCGGCCGGACCAAATTCAAGCGGACGAGCATCGACCGGCTGATGAACACGCTGGTGCTCTGGGTGCGTGGAGAGGGAGCTCTGGGGGAACCCGTCCCTGACCCGGCCGGGGCTCTGATGTCCCCTCCCGGCCCCAGATCTTCGGGTTCCTGGTGTGCATGGGTGTGATCCTGGCCATCGGCAACGCCATCTGGGAGCACGAGGTGGGCGTCTGCTTCCAGATCTACCTGCCCTGGGACGAGGGGGTGCACAGTGCCTTCTTCTCCGGCTTCCTCTCCTTCTGGTCCTACATCATCATCCTCAACACCGTGGTGCCCATCTCGCTCTACGTGAGGTAGGGCAGGGGCTGTGGGGCTGGGCCGCGGGGGTGCGAGGGGCAGGCGCCAGGAGCGGGGCTGCCCTCTGGGGAGGGGAGATGGGGATGGAGACCCTGGGGCAGGGCTGCGTGCGCGGGGTGGGCGCGGGCTGCTCTCCTGGAGAGGGGCCACATCTGCCCCTGGGGATACCCCAAGACCTGAGGCCCTGCAGGTCCCTCGGGGCCCCCCCTGGCTGTGTCTGTCTGGCTGCTCATCTCTCCCTGCCCTGGCTGCATGCTGGTTATTTTGCTCTGCCCTCCTGCAGCTCCCAGGCTCCTGCACTGTCCCCTTCTCTCTCTCTTTTAATTTCTCTCTCTTTTCGTTCCCCAGCATGGGTTCTGTCACCCTTAGCCCCGAGGTAAGAACGTGTCGCCCCCACCCCT